GTTAATTTCTCCATAAACACACCATAGAGAAAATTCTTGCCTATTTAAATCTTAAAATTAAAATGAAATAAAATAAAAATAAAACCATGGTACTAATTCATAAAGGATAGTAGCTACTATGCTTATTGATAATACACTTAAAATATTTGCTGAAAGGAAATAAAAACCTCGTAATAGAAAGTAGATTTGGTAAGTGGACACATGGAGGCTGTCAGCTAGATGGAGATGCTATCCATGGAAGCTGTCTGGAGGACATACGTTGACAAGGGTTTTGTAATAAGTGATGTAGCATAGTGGTTATGGATGGGGTGGACAATGTTTAAAATCTCTGTTCCCTGTTTAGCTAGCAGCTATATGATGGGGGAGGTGGGTAAACTCCCTAAAATGATATTTAATAATGAGGATGAGTTTATTTACTCTATGGGCTTTCTCTCAGGATTAGAAGAACTCATGTACCTAAAGCTTTTTAACAGGGATGTTAACATGAGGCAAGTGATAGTTACCTGTTATTATGCACCATTATCGCTTACCATAACCAATGGTAAAGGGTTTTGGCTACACTGGAGAGATCATTGTCTCGCCTTTATTATCATGACAGGTGTTAGCAGCTCATGATTCTAACTTCTGACTAAACACAAAGGAAAGTAAGGAAAATATGAGAAATCTGAAGATGTTGGAACTTCATAAGGACACAAACTATAAGTAACATGTTTTCCCACAGAGTCAGCCTTGCCCATCAGGCTTAAGGCCTGCTTTGTATCACTGTGAAAGCCTCTCCTGGCTTTTACCAAGCAGATGTAAGGTGTCTTTGCTGGACAGTTTTATGGTCTAAAATGAAAATGGAGTCAATACGATTAATCACTTGAGTAGGGAAAATGATGGGAAGTGACAAACTCTGAGCTTTTCTCTTTGGGGACTTCTTTGTTGCAACCTTCATCAAGAAAAGGTCAAGGAATGAGGTGGAAATGGTTGGGACATGTGTAGAATTATTCAGGCAGGGACAGGGTGAAATAAACTGTTGCTGTCTTCTCATTGGCTCCATACTGACTGCATTAGAGATGACTAATACGATTTTTTAAAAAGTAATTCAGTATTAAGCTTCAGTTTTTCAGTCACTGTTTAACATTGGGATACAACATTTGTTGTAAATAAGGTTAAAGTAACACATAGCTTCGAGAGGATGTTAAGAGAAAGCAGACACTGATGAATTTAGAAGCTCAGGAAATTTGAGCAAGGTGGAAAGTGACGTTTTGTCTCTTCAGGGAGTAGAACACAGGATGAGATTAAACCAGTGTGGCAGCTGTGTATATATTAAAAATACAAATTAACATGCTCATTATCTATACTTATTGAGACAAATAATGTTCACTAGTCCATCAGTTATAAGACTCTCTCATGTCCCAATCTTGCAAAAAACACTCTAAGGACTCAGAAACAGCAATAGGAATGAAGTTTGCAAACAATCACGGGAGGAGAATGTTCTAGAAACAGAGTCCCACAACAGAGTGGTGAGAGCTATAGCATAGATGTGTGTCTGTTGTGTGATTGAGAGATGCTATGGGGATTACTTTTAAAAATTACTTAAAATTTTGACCATATCATACAATGTGTTGTGGTCACATTCACTCTTCAATGTCTATTCTTACTCTCCCCCACTCCTAATGACTCCCTCCTTTCCATCTTGTTCCTCTCATAAGATGGCTAATTTTGACTATCAAACTGACTGCATTAGGAAATGCCCAGGGGAGTGGAGATGGACAGATATACCTGTTAAAGTATTTCCAGAAACAACTAAATTCTAGACACTTTGAAACAATGAAAAGATGAACTAATCCTTTGATGGATTCATCAGATGTCATTGTTGGGAAGTGATGAAAGGCAGGAGTTGGTGCCCCGTTGAAGGGGATAAGCCAGTAAGAGAAGGTCTACAGGAGCTTTACCTTACCCCAACTCCTTCCTGTAGTCCCTTTTATCTACATACTATAAGCCATGAAGCAACTCTTGACTACATGTTCCCGCAACCATGCTATTTTGTCTCACAATGGGTCCAGAGACACGGTGCCAAGTGAGCATGGACTACATTCTCTGAAACCGTGAGCTAAAATAAATTACTGTTTTGGATAAGTATTTGGTAACAGTGGTAAGGTGAGCCACTAAAACACTTTCCTTGCAGTAAAGAAAAGGCAAAGGACCCGCTGTACTGGATGTGTAAGCCACATTAGTGGGAACTAAAACCAAAGCTTCTCTTAATAATTATAATATCACAAACCCCACAGGTCCTCAATTCAGAGACAATTGGAGTTTTTAGGATGTTTGTAAAGAATTTGTTGGCTAAATATGTTTGTGTAACAGTAGTCCAAACCAAATTGGAACATACATACAGTCTGCTTTTACTTCAATTCAAATTTCAAATGAATATTTGTTATTAAAGTGAATAACTTTAATCAATCTCCCATGTCACAATTAAAAGAGTGAAAAGCTTTGCAAATGATTTTCTCTTAATACTAGAACCGTGCAAATACTTGATCTATCTAAAATAAACTTTACATTTTCTATGATTTGAAAGCAGGTTTCATTAGGATGGCTACTCTGATATATTTGTCAGTGAGAAAACTGTCAAAAGACAATTTCTCCCATGCTATCATTGTTAAATGATTTCTGTTTTATGATCACATAACTTTTCTGAAGATTTGCTTTTATCAGAAATGAATAAAACACTATTTATCAGATCAGCTTCACATCCTTGAAGTAATCCTCCATGTTGTACTAATATGACACTTGAAACAGAACCTTCTGTGGACCTCTGACTCCTGCAAGATGGTGCTACTAGATGGTATTACTAAATGATAATAGTTATTATCAACGCCATTCACACCAGTTTTCACTTTAGCCAAGACAAAGCAAAGATGAGAACTCTGTGATACAGTGGTGGGACATATCTAGAACACCACCACAAAAGACTTGGTTAATTGAACCAGGTGAAAAGTTCCTGATTCACCCTTGACTTGCAGCTCCCTAAATAGTTAAGACTTCTTGTCAGTAACCCAGGCTGTTCCCATCTGTAAGGACAGGCTAGCAGTCAAGCCTATCCATGATGCACTAACCATGATGGGTTGTTCCGGAGCATGTTGACATACAACCCAATGAGAACATGTTCATCAGCTAGCCTGTCTGCCACGTTCAGGCTGTACTGTATCCTAAAACAGGGCAGGGGGAAAGAGGAATTAAGAGAGGTGGACAGAAATAAGCAGACACAGTAGGTGTGAGTTTGTGGTAGGAAAGGCACTCAGAAAACAAAGCCAGTAAAGGGAGACTATATGTGACGTTCTATGAAAAGCCCAAGCAAAACCCAGGCAAGGAATCCATAACTTCATTCCACTAACTTTCAAAACATCGAGTAACTTTTTAGAAAACAGATTTGCATTCTTTGAAGACCAAGGAACTTTTCTGCATGGAAAACACGTTGAAACACGTCACAACAAAGATTAAATATCGTCTGGGAAATTGGGTTAGTCATGTAAAATTAAGATAAAAGAAAAGGGTAAGTGGAGTCAGAAATAACACTAGTGTGTCTACTTGGAGTGATGACTCGGTGCTGTTAGTGAGTTATAAGACAGCTGCTAGTCTAGGTCAAAGGCCTTTCACACGCAAACCATTTACAACAAAAGAAATGCCATCTTTAGTTGTGTTAATTCAGGATCCCAGCACACTCTGGCTTGAACTTACCCTTTGCCCTTCAGAAAGGCTGGAGCAGCCCTAGCCAGCATTTTGTTCTGTTCTACTTCACTGTCCTTGGGAGGAGAGCTAGTTAATAAGATGGGAAAGCCAAGAAGAGGGTAAACACAGCGACACATTGAGACTAGAAACCGGCATCAGAAACTTCCTAGTCTAGATCCACATTCTGTGTGGACACGTGGCTTAGGATTTTGAAATGCTCAAGATGTCTCCAGATTTCCATAGAGTTTAATTAAAAGAAGAAACCTATTTGAGAGCCACAATAGCTACCTCAGGCTTGGCCTCTGCTATTTAACAAGGAACACTTGTATTGCATATGGCTAGACATCATGAGAATCCATCTAACATTTATTCCGGGGTATGAGGGAAACAGCCCAGTACATCATAAAATCCTGCCAGTGTTTAGATGCCTCTTAAGAGATTTGCTTCCAGGCTGCAGAGATAGCTCAGCTGTTAAAAGTATGTCCAGCTCCTTCGTAGGACTCAGGTTTGGTTCCCAATACTCACACCAGGTGGCTCACAGCCACCTGTGACTCTAGCTCTGGGGGATCTGACTCCTCTGGCTTCTGTGGGCACCAGCACATATGTGGAGATGTTCACACATGGGACACACCCATCCATATAATTAAAAATAAAATAAATCTTAGAAAAATGCTTGCTTTTCGGTTTCCCTAAATTCTTCAGTCATTTTTCCAATGCAGATGTGAGCATTACAGAAAGATGGCTACCATAACAGATGTGTTTCAGTGTTCTCAATGACCTGGCCTTGGCCATGAAGCTATAAAGAAAAGTTTCAGATAAAAAGAAATACAGTTTGGAGCAATTTTAGTAATGCTGATGGTCATTAATGAATATCTAATGGACAGATTAATTTTTGACATCTTACATTTATTTTTTTGTTTAGTAATTTAAATGGCAGTTTTAAGGTTTCAGTGTGGTTTTTATTAAAGGCCAACCATTGTATTGTAGCCTATATGTCAGTGCACTTAAAACTAAGTCCCCACATTTGTGGAAAATACGAAATTAAACATCTGTGTTTACAAGATTCATTTTTATTTTGTGGGTATGGTATTTTGCCTGCATGTATGTCTATGCACCACATTCATGCATTGGCCTCAAGGCCAGAAGAGGGTGTGAGATCTCCAGGGGCTGGACTTACAGGTGGTTGTGAGCCACCATATGGATGCTTGGAACCAAACTTCAGTCCTGTAAGAACAGCAAATGCTCTTAACTACTGATCCATCTCTCTATTCACCTGATTATTCAGATAAAACATTTAACAGCTGGAATCTAAACTATGAGAGACCACAAATTTCCAGGAAGTTCTAAGCCACATATATATCATGTTTGTATACCACATATACATTATAGGCATATATCACATACCAGGTATTACAAAATAATTTAAACCATGTAAAATGTACAGATTTTAAGGTTGTATCACAATGTACCACACTCTTTCAGACTAAAATCCTAAAACCATAGAAATTTGTTTGTGGTCATGTGAGAGGACCAACAGGCAGCATTGAAACTCATGGAACATGGCTGGGCAGTTGGCAAAGCCATGCCTGAATGAGACTTGGAGAGGCAAAGCCCTGAGGACCTCATGCTGTTATTGAGCATAGCTCTGATTGTTGTCTTTGAGCTCACTGCATCCCTCATAATCTGTGGGTTGTATGAAAACTCTCAGGGGTTTCCAGCCCCTCACTGGGCAGTGTCACTGGTACTTAAGTAATAGTGATTTTTCTTCCAAGCATTGCTGCTGGAGATTAATGATTCAACCACCATCCTTAGAAAGAATTTTGACATGTAGTTGATTGTAAAATTAGGTGAAGATGTTTTTGTTAATGGCTTTGAGGTAGAAAATCTTGGGGAACAATTTAAGGTTTAGAAAGGCATACTTTTTAGTAGTTGAGTCAGGAACTCATTGAAGTCAGGGAACAAAACAATGGCAGCCTAGCTATTGCTGGCTGACATACCTTTCTTGCTAGGGTGGGTTGGTGATCAAAGGTGATGATTAACTCCTTATGCCAATTTCTGTCTTCAGCTTCATGATATAAAAAAATATGGTTTGAGGGTTTGAAGTAGAAATACAAATAGAGCTGACTGATAATTTTTCATATACAAAAGTTTAGATTTGTGATTCTTTTAAGATGTTTTATAAGATTACCATTTCAGATAAATAATAAAATAATTTATCCTTTCTTTGTAACTACAAAAAGTAGCCTGCCAGTAAAAGGACTGGCTGAGAAAATTTGTTTATGCTGCTTTTGTTAATGATGTAAAGATGTGTTACATTGTTTTACTGCATTAGTTTAATTATGTAAAGATGTGTTGCATTTGTTTTCACCTTGCCTGCCTAAGGCACCTGATTGGTCTAATGAAAAGCTGAATGACCAATAGCTAGGCAGTGGAGGGATAGGCAGGGCTGGCAGGCAGGGGAAATAAGTAGTAGAGAAGAAAAGAGAATGAGGGAGAAAGAGTGGGAGACACCCTGGGACAGTCAGCCAGACATGGAGCAAGCTGGGAATAGGACATACAGAATGAAAGAAAGGTAAAAAGCCCTGAAGTAAAACATAGATGAAGAGAAACAGGTTAAGTTATAAGAGCTGGCAAGAAATGAGTCTAAGCTAAGGCTGAGCATTCGTAACTAGTAAGTCTCTGTGTCATAACTGGGGAGCTGCATGGTGGCCCAAAAGAAAGCCTGTCACAAATTAGCATAGCCACATTTCACATACTTATTTTGCATACTTGTAATATTTAAAGTCTACTCTTCCAGCAACTTTGAAATATTGAATACATTATTATTAATGATTGCCACAGTACCCACAACAGATCACTATGACTTTAAAACTGATACATGAGATACTGTTCTAGAGGACCTGATTTCCCTATGGTCTTAATGATGTTTCCCAGGATATTGATTTTTATCCCCTAGGCTCTAAGGAGCATCCCACCATGGTCAATAACTACCTTAACCCATGTAGTTGGTGTTTACTGTAATGTTCCATAATTCCACACACAGCTTTCTAAACTTTGTCCCTGAAGGAAGTCAACACACATTGCTTATCCAAAAATCACAGTTTTCTTCCTTCTTCTCAGTGTTTCCTCAACCATTTTCTCTAGCTGAGGGCAGATGCATCTGTTACAGATTTCAGATGTCCACAAACCATTCACTACACTGTGAGAAATATCAGCCACTCCTCCTCCACACAAGAGTTCCTTGTCCTCTAATATCTTCTTGCTCTTTGGATATCAGAAATTATAGCAATAACTCCTTAAACCAAGTACTATTAGCCTTATTAAATTATTCAGGTATCTCTTCTGATGTTGAATGCAAGATTTAAAACAAATATTCAGTAGAGACAACTAATGGGTTTTGGGGGATCAAACACTTTCAAAATCTTTCATATATAGTTAAAATTCTACTGTTAGTTTTGAAGGTTGACAACTTATGTCATGATTTTTACTCTAATGAAAGAATTCGTGGGATGTCTTAAGGTGAAATTCTACATGAATGCTCACTAGATTTTTCTGAAACCTGGAATTTTTGTTTTAAACTAACTCTGCATAGGTTAGAATATCTTATTAGACTCTGACCAAGGAAATTTGTTTTTCTCTTATTGAATATAATATCAAAGGATTGTATTTAATCTTAGGGAATGTAAAATATTCCATATCACAGTGGTTAAAAGGGAAACAATATTTTACTCGTTGTAGATTTAAAAAGCACAAATCTAGTTTCTATGAATTCTTAAATAACTGACAGACTGTGAAGAATTCTTGGGAAGTCGGCTCCTTCTTCAAGAGATTTTCAACAGTAAAAAGTGGCTTTTCACTAATTTATTCAATAGTGATAAGTTCATTAAACTGACACACTCAATAATAAGAGTCCTCTCATTACTTTAGTGAAGGGAAAGTTTCTTGAAACATTCTATTTTACTTTCTTACATTTCTACAGCTCAGATTGAAATATAAAACTCTGATATATGCAAATCAAAATTATGCATAAAAATAGGTTAGTGTCCCAGCAGGAAGATTTAGTTATCCATGGGGATGGACAGAAAGCTCAGTAGTTAAGAGTTTTTACTGCTCATGCAGACCACCTGGAGTTAGTTCCCAATACCCACCTAGTAGCTCAGAATAGATTGTAACTACAATTTCCAGGCATCTTATTTTTGCCTCCATGGGCAGCAAGCATGTGATGCATATAAACTCACACAGGCATACACACATACACATGACTAAAATAAACAAATCTTTAAAAAAGAAAATTAACTATCCATCAATTCAGGCTGGCATAAATACTAAGCCATCTAAAGACGCATCATATAAGACTTGAAGAGTTCTGAGGTCAATTTTGCTTGGTTACATTTGTTATATTGTTCCCTAATATCACCCCAAGTTGTGTCAATTGTATGTTTGTCAAGAGAGTTCATAGAAAAGTCTTCTGTGTACAGAACATGTGCAAACAGAACTAAAGATTCCCAGTGAGAAAGGAAAGGTCAAGAAAGTGAGATGACCTTAGTACGTGCTGACATATTTATATGGATATTAGAACTTTGTTTGAAGACTGTAAGTTCTAACTTCTTAATTATGCGTTGACATGTTCATATGTAAATCAGAGCTTTGTTTGAAGACTATTAATTTTAGCTTATAAATGAATTGAAATAAAGATTGCCTATGGAGTATGGCCATTTTATTTATAGAATTTCATGCAACATACACAGGAATAGTGAAGATACTGAGAAAATCGTCAAGGCAGTGCCAGGCACTGATTGATAAATTTGCCTGTTTTTGTTGCCATAGGTTTATGAGTTCCATTCTTAGTCAACATCAGCCATGGGAAAACCTTTCAGAAGCAAAAGCTGAATCCAGTATAATTCTGTTAACTACTTTGGATGGCCAAATCACAAATGCCTATAACATAATTTGATTTTTTTAAGTCAGGTTAAAAGCTGGGCCATTAAATAATCTTTGGGTGAGCAGAAGTGTTTGATGTAAAAAACAGAAACAAAGAATTAGTCCTTTTTTGGATGGAAAACATAAGTCAGGAAAACAAATGACTAACAAGTCAGGCGAGGAAAATGTCACATAAGGCTGTCCATCTAGGAAAAATCAGG